ACGCATTCAGGTGTTGGTATAGGCGTTCCTACTACTAACAAATGGATTTGATAACAAATAAAGTAATTAACTAGTAAACATATTTATCAGACTATTTGCATATATTCATATGTTATGGCACAAGGAAAGAAACAGAAACAAAATAATAGACCAAAAAAAGAGTAAGTAGCTACTCTCAGAAGGGAAAAGCCGTAAAGAGCAAGGAAGCTATCACTTCCGTGGCTTGGACAATCAGCTCCCTTTAACAAAGAAGCTTTGCTTCTGTAGGTTAGACAATAACCGTCCAGTAGGTGCACTGAACACTTATGCGACCATGCGGAGAGAGATTTAAATCCCAGCAGAGGAATTCGTTGGGTGGCGTCCCGATCCGAGGGGAGTTCCGTCACTTCGGCGGACCGGCTCCATCCAATAAGGCAATCTCAAAGGTTGGACCCTGTCCCCCAGCGGTTATTTACAGCCGTGATCGAACTGGGGCTGCGCTCACACTATCATGTGGTTGCTCTGGCAGGTTGAGGATGATTCCGGCACGTTCTCAGATGTTCTTTGATGGACAGGTGCCACTTGCTCCGCTCACGTGGGATTTGACAGCTAGCTGTTTCCTCCAGTCACTGTCCAGTCGCCAGGCAGAAAACTGTCGGCCAACAGGTATACTCAGGTGGGGTCAGCCGTAGGTCAGGCCGAGAGAGGCTGAAGATCAAATAAGCACAGGAGGAAAAAAAATGGCAAAAGGAGCAAGAAGATGGGATTTTGTTTTCGGGTGGCAGAATAGATTAACCTCTGCCTAAGCCCATCAAGAAATTGCTGAACATTTTGAGTACCAGCTCAAACAGTGTAGTAAGGTACGATACATCCTAGACCTGTTATAGTAAACACTTGACTTATTTTTGACATAGCTATTAATATTTGTGTAAATTCTGATGTGGATTTGTAGGTAATCCTACATATTTATCAATACATCGTGGCTTTTGGAAAGAAAACTAGTGCAACATCAGTGGTTACCAATCTTTTAATGATAGAAGTGATGTAAGGCCAGGTAGTGAGACTAGGAGAGATGGGAGAGCACCAAGCTTTGGTGCAAAAATACTTCCCTTGGCGGTGGTGGCTATTTAGCAGCTTCTGGCATAGCTTGTAGCAAGGAGGTGGTGCTCAGCACTCAAGTCAAGATTTGTGATTCCCAGGGACACGTACTGCTTGGGCAATGCTCATATATTGTGTTTTCAAAGTTTGCTTATTATGGTCAGGGAATCTTTAGGGCTGGGTGAAATTTATTTACTGAGGAGGTCAAAGCACCTAAGAAACAACCCTTTTACAGGCTTTGAACTTTTTAGGGAATATTTGGAGCTTTAATGTAATTACATACTTTTCTGTTTGTTAGAATAGAACATAAGACAACAACCCTGCCCTGGCAGTCTGTACCTTTCCAGTCTCTTTCCTAAAACAGCCTTAATCACTCATGCCCTCCAGCTCCTGTAATTTCCACTGCCCTGTGCTCACCTTGATGTCTCCTTGGAATTGCCAGAGTCAACAGACCAAGCCCCCATCCCTAGCAGCTTAATACCTGAATGAGCAACACAGGTAAATCACTAAACAATTCTGAAACCAGAAACTACTTTTTCACCCTTGGATGAGGCCTCTATGTGTGCAGCTTAATGAACACTGCTGCAGCAGGGGAACAAAGAACAGAAAAAAATAAAAAACTCATGCCGCTTCTGAGGTGTGTAGCCTACCTGGATGGTAAATATGGGAAGGGATGAACATTATTACATACCTGCTGAATCACATATGCAGACACAATTCCCATGAAATACAACATGAAAAAATCTGCCCTGGGAGATTTGTTTTCAGTGAGCAAATCTTACCAGTTTAGGAGAAAACTAATCCAACACAGACAAGAAAGCAGTTTTCTGCTGGGCTCGCAAGTTGAACTGAGTCAGTGATGGACCAGCGAGCAACAGAACTGACACAAGAGACAGGGCATTAGCGAAGGGGTGAGGATGAGGACTGCTCACTTTTCCAGCATGACACTGGTATATTGGCTGTGCTATAGAGCTGAACCAGATCCTGGCCTCTAGTCTGCATTCAGGTCACATACAGAGAAAAGTAATCATCCTTTTTAAGGAAAAAAAAAAACTTGTTTTTTAAGACTAGCTTAAGTGAAATAAGGGGAAATGATAAAAGAGAGTCAAGCTTTCAGAAGGTGGCTGTGATGTTTTTAAGCAGTAGTACTGTAAAATTATGGAGTTAAAAATGCAGCACACACAACATATATTTGAGCTGGTTAAGGCATCTGAAACAACCTGACAAGTCTGGTGATCAATGCCAAAACAGGGAAAATATTTCATATTCTAATAATTAATGTTTTCTACAAATTGAAACTACAGATGTATGAGAACAGGTTTTATTAAAAATACATATTTTCTGTTTTACATAAAAAGAATACACATTATAATTAAACACAACTGAAAAAGTTGGTCAGAAATTACTTGAAAAAAATACAGATTTCCATAATCCCAGAGCACCCAACCTTTGACTGCATGAGCCGCATATTAAAATCATCCCATGCTCATGACCAGAGGGCCTGTCTGCATACAGCAAAGTGCCAAAAAGGAGCAGTTGGTCAGAGGCTGGGGTGCGAACAGCTCCACAGCAGCTGTTCCCTGGCACAGATATACGCAAGGTGCGAGCTTTCTTCTCCCCAAATCCAGGAAGGGTTGCTACTCCTCTGGGCACAGCTGCAACCTTAGCAAGAGAACTGCTGAGGTGGCATACGGCTCAAGTGTCACAGGTTGGCCACCCCTCCTGTAAACAAGGAACAGCACAGCACTGCACTGCACTTCCCGTTAGTTTTGCTTAGGATGTAGTTGCAAATCCCATGAACAGCACTATTGAAAGAAACCCAGCTGTGCTTTTATAAATTAAACATGGTGCAAGAGTCTTTTTGATAAAAGATGACCTTAACTGAAACCTCCACTGGAATCTTGGATCTCCACCCTTTTGAATCCCCAAACTTCTGGGTCCCTACTCTTCATAGCTCAGGCCCATCTCAGACTTTTGAAGAGACACTGTTTTCAAAGCAACACGTTATCAGCTTAGGCAGCAGCATATACTGATTTTCATGCACTAGACTTTCAATTAAAGTCAGAATGCAAAAGGGCTGTTAGACACATCTGCTATTTAAACTGCACAGAACAAAATACTGGCTGCATTTACTCTCCATAGAAAATACTGTAAATCAGTTTTCCAGACTGCTGAAAATTCAACTCCTTTTAAAGTCACTAAGTATTGTATGTATTCATCATCCCTCCGAAGTGATTGAAACACTTTGCAAATTCAGGCTCCAACAGCACTCAAGACAAGTGTCTACAGAATAACATTTACTGGCCAATTCACAACTTAATAAAGGCACGCAGAAGAAAAGACAGACTGGCAGGATTGGGAAGTGAGGTGATGTGAAATTATGAACCAATGATCCCTTTGCTTTGACCTTATAAAGCATGCAAGGGCATGGGCAGCAAAAGTGGCAACAGTATCTATGGTTGGACAATAAGAATAACTGTAAAGCAAAGTTCAATTTGGAAGAAAAAAAAAGTGGCCTTGCATAGCTTCATACATATTATGATCCAATACAAGTCATGAGCTGATTGAAAGAAAGAAGATACTTCATCTAATATCATGCCTTGAAAACTTAAGAAGGTATTCAATTCATGTAGCTTTCAGCTCCTTAAGGATTCTTTATCATCTGCAAGATTAATTCCTCATACTGTAATTTAATCAAGCATGCTGCATCACCTTCTGGAACGCTTGTGTCTCTACTGACTATGCTGGGAACCTACAAGAGAGATCAGCTTCCCCTCTTAGCCCACTGAAATCTGAAGCCTATCTGAAGTTAAGACAAAATGATTCCTCTTAATATACTATTATCAGACAGATTGCAACAGAACAAGATTTTCCCTGTAGAATATCGTCCCTATTTCTAATGCAAGGAAAAGGAAATGAACTGGTTTTCAGAGCTTAGGATGCGTTTGCAGAGTGAGAATTAAAAAACTGATTTTTAGTAAAGCAAATTTGTTCTAGGATTAATGAGATCTAAATATCCACCAAAAAGTTCCAGAATACCACCAATCAAAATAACCTTCCTTTATAGGAATGATATCTTCACCAGAAGATCTCAACTTGCCAAAATCTGAGCAAGTCAAATATTTGTCTAAATTCTAATAGTCTTCACCTTCCTGTCATGATTTTCCAATTTTCCTAATAACTTCAATGGCCATATTGATTGACCTTGATCACTAGGGGTGACCTGCTCTGCATTTTAGGATGAAAAATGCTTTAAAGACATCCCAGGTTGGGAACTTCTAAATTTTTCGCACCTTTGTAAGGCTATACTGTGAAGCTCACAAATGATTAAGAACCTCACCTTACAGGAAATAAGAATGAGAAACTTTATCCGGTTGTGAGGTGGCAGTGTAGGGGAAAAAAGGGGGGGGGATTTTAAAATAGCTCAGCTTGAAAGGTGTTGAAGAACAAGGCTGGAAAGGTGAAGTTTTTATCAGTAATTAAATAAACTACAGCATGAAAAGTCCAACAACACGCTGCCTCTAAAACTTCCCATAAGCATCAACTCTGGAAAAAAAAATACACAGGTTCATTTTTAGTTGTATATACATAAGACATCCAGATTTAGAAATCTCTCCTCAGGGTTATAACCCCCTTCCTAGAGCAACACTGTTATAGCTTGTGTACAGTGTTGCAAAACACTGCTTCATAGTCTTTAGAATTTTTCATGGCTTTCCTAACCCATTTTGCAGTGTGAATGACATTTCTCCCCAAAACTAAATAATGCTTTAAAGCAGTTTTAATTATAGGCCTGATCTACTTGAAGATGGCCTTCAAATAAAATATTCAAGCTTTTAAATAGAATTTTTAAATACAAGTAGTGGTTTTTTTTTTAATTTTAATCACAAAATAGATCTAGTGAACTTCACATCTTATTAAAAAAATACACACTAGAAAGAAAATTCACAGAAGAAAAATTTCCAGCCTCCAATGATTCAGAAAATGTTAATTACAGTACAGAAGAGCATTATTAGTTAAATCAATTCTTCTAAGTTTGATTGCTACTTTGAAATTAAAGGGTATTTTGACACTAATTCTACTGCAGAAGTTCATAAGCCAGGTGGCTTTTTATGTGTGCAATGGAAAACAAAGAACACTGCTATAGAACTGAAGTAGTCTGCCAAATACCCTTTTCAAACATCACCTCTTAAAATACACGTGTCTAAATAAAGGCTTTGTAACCCCTTTCTTATCTCCTTTCTGCTCCAGCTGAATGATCATACACTTTACACTAGACTAGGTTTTCTCAGCTGTTACAAGAAACTCACTAAACCCCCTACACCCAGCTCCACAGCCTGCATTTGGATAATGCATGGGTGCAAGGGTCTATGTATGCAGTTCCTACAATGGCATCAGGATCTAATAATAGCTTATCAAAGTAGCAAAGAGTTTCAAATCCACTTTGATCTCAATAAACAGAAAGAGTAACATACATGCAAAACAACTTGCATGAAAGGATACTATTGTTAGTGTATTGTCACAACATTAGCAGCAGTTTGGTCTGTAGTGAGCTCAGAGAAAAAAAAAAGTTGGTCAGGAAGGAACATACCAAAAAAGCAAAAGACTTAACGAACTCGGTTCTCCATTGCTTTGCACCTTCAGGAATTTGACCTTAGAAAACACTAAGCCAAATGCAAGGCAGTTGAGAGAATCAAGCCTGCAATTTTCATGGTTTGAATGAGCACAAGAACTCTGCTTCCAAGACTCTGTCTTCTTAAGATGCATGTGTCACAACAGGAATGTCAATTTCTATGGCAGAGAGGCGAGAGCGTGCAGAGTAGGGCTGGGAGGCATAGCTGTGCATGCTGGGGGCATGTGAATACAGGGGCTGCCAGAAAGGGGAAGGTAGGCTTTTACATGCACAATACCACAGAAATAACATAATGGAAGTGAAAAACAGACCACCAGCACTGGCAATAGCAATAAATACCGAGATGTCAAAGCTAAAGACAGGCTCATATTTTCTGTTCAGATAATTGTTATAGAAAATGACCCAGATTGACGGAGTGACACAAATGGCACATGCGAGCAGGAACAAGAGGCCAGCCACGAGGTGGCAGCCTGCACTGTTTACAAGGCATTTGGCTAATTTTATGTTTGGCACACTTGATACAAAGGCTGTGTTACACATGCCAATCAAGCAAAGAAACAGAGCAGAGACAGCAGTTAACATACTCAGGGGGAGGGCAAACTGAAGAACACGCAAATCCAACTGATCAACAGCTGTGTACCACTGTGGGTCATATATCACGCAGTCTCTGCTCCCATCAAAGCGAGCACACTTAATCCAGAGTCCTGTGTAAACTGTCACATTCTTCTCATTCTTGTTGAATGTGTACAGTCTCATTTGCCTCCAGTTTGGAAGCAGAACTGCTGCAAGAAGTCCAGCTACTGAGGCTGTTCCGCTGAGGAAGGCCAGTACTGTTGCTGCATGAACATCCCGGCAGCCCATGCCTGCCCACAGAAGATGCTTTCTGCAACTAAAAAGAAAGAATGATTTCAAAAATCAGTAAGTCTTATTTTATGGACATAGATCTGATTACAGTCAAATTACAATTGTGTCACTTTAATAAACTTGCATGGCCCAACAGGCAGGCAGTAACTATCCGGCACCTTCTTCTTCCACGCTTACATGGTAACACTAAGAAGCTCTCCCTTTAATGAGACTTCAGGTTATTTCACAGACTGTTTGGTTGCTCGGCTGACGCACTGCTAAAATCACTGTGTTCCACTCAAACACGGAGCACTTCATTGTATGATTCTCCACAACCTTTCAACTTGTATCCCTGCACAGACATTGTCTGTACGGAGAAGAAGTATCACTGAGTTAGCGCAACTTAAGAAGTTCACCTCTACGCAAAAGGCAGCTTCCACTCGTTAGCTAAGATGCAACATGAGAGTGTCTGTTCAGTCCCACCATGCTGCCGTGCGAGTAAAAAGGGACAGCTTAAAACTAACATCATTAGACTGGATAAGGAATGTGCATGTGGGCAGTTATCCACATTTTACATAGGCCAAACTGTTGAGGAGAGCTGCAAGCTAGTGAAGAACTGCACTGCCCAGTTATTTACTGTATATGATTTTTTTTCGAAAAGCAATTAAAATTTCTTCCGCACCTCTTCTGCCTTTCAGAACCAGCTGTCCAACTACATGAACAATTCCAGAAAGCAGATGGCTTTTCAGCTTCCACATTCTCCTCTTCAGAGGAAGTGTCAAACATCCCTTCCTTTTCAATCTATCTCTGCATCTAGCTAAACTTCTTAGAGCAAACACGTGCAGAGATCTTGGTAACAATTCCAAGATGGGTCTTCTTAAAAAATGCATTTTGAAATATGATCAGTTAATTTGGATAATCTCATCTCCAAGTACTTGAGAGACTTTAAAGAAGCCTAATATAGAGTACATACTGAGCATCCACCCTGGAACGCACTGGAAGCGGGGCACTAAAAACTATAGTACCTAAAAAAAAAAAAAATCAGCAGATACTCTGATATTTCAAAATGAAAGTCATTACGACATAAATGCCTATTGAAAAGTCTTCCTAATCATTATACTGCATTGTGCTTATTTGTCTAGAGTCTCAAAACAGTTCTTTAGACACTAGTAATAAAATAGTTTGAAGTTCTACCATATGCTCATGAGATTAAAAAAAAAGTTTTTTTTTTTTAACAGTAAGATTATAGACATGCTGGCAGCCAAAGAGGAAATCAATTCAGATACCCTTCTACCCTTGTACTACTTGCAAACATGAAACGCCCAAGGAACTTTTCAGATGATGAGGAACGAAGAATTTCCACATATACTGGAAGCAGACTACAAGCACTATCAAACTATACAGCTAGCCAGCATGTTAGTCGTTTATAGGCAAATAAATAAAAAAAAAATTGTTTCATAAGAACCAAGGACTTTACTTTCATTTTATCCCCTGTGACTCTGAAAAATCGCATGTAATGCCTGCAACAGTCTCTGGGTAACATTCACCTGCTGCTTATACTCTTTTAAAGAGGTACATCCGTAAAGAAATGACGACAACCATATTTACACTGATAACGCACATTATTCACCAAAAAATATTTGCACTAAAAATAGCTGAGTGTGGGCAAATACTGTTCTCATGGCAGCAACCTTTTCAGTTAGTGGGCTGTTAGTAGCACACTCTCCGGATAGGGGTACCCGAGACTTATTTCCATCATAATTTCCTTAATATTATGCTTAATCTCAGCTTCAATAAGGTCAAAGCAACCATTTTGCAAGGACATGAACCTACAATAGGTACACTTGAGGGGTAAACCTAATACAGCATCAGATTTTGTTCTTAGGCTTGATCCTTGTGCTCTTCCACAAAAAGTTTGCCTTTGCCAGGTATTTGCCTGGATATGACTTCCATGAAGACAGGACATACTCAGAGATGGAACCTTCCACCAGAAGGGGCTGAAATAAGCACAAGACTGGCCATTTTCAGAAACTGTTTCTACAGATCCATTTGCAATAGCAGAGAAAAAAAAATGGACAGAATGGACGAGGGGCAGAGGAAGTGATGTGAAGTCCACTGATAGTCTCTAACGCTAGAGGACGGAAAAAAATCAGGGTATTTTTTTTCCTACTAGATTACCATAAAGTATACTTACATCAAGGACTATACAGCCAGAACTTGGGACAGCATGGAAAAGCTTGCATTGTTTCTACTACCTCTGCTGTACCAGTAACACAGATGGAAGACTTCAGTCTAGTTCATTCTACAGCTGCCAGGTATTTTAGGCCACCCTGCATATCTTATTTTTGCTGGCCATTCCTAGTAGATGTACCAAGGTGTGTGTTTGTTCGGCTGGTTGAATTTTTTTGTTTTTTTGATGGAAGTATCCTTGGCACTTCTTGTGGGGTAGGAAGTGAAAGAAGTAGAAAACAGCTCATTCCCCACCTCAGAGGGTATCATCAAGAAAAAAAAAAGCTGTAGGTATGCTACCCATGATCCTCACCTTGCCCCATCTTGCAAATACCATTAGCTTTAAACTGCAGTTATAGCTTCAGTTACAGAATCCTGATTAAGACAGTAACAAATAGTTGTGGTATTAAAGACAGATCTGGTGTACTCACCAATGGTATGTTCAAATGGAGAGAAACCTTTGCAACTTCTAAGTAAAAACGTATTACTCGATCTAGGAAACAGAACAAGGACAAAATATCACATGTGTTTCAGGCAATTCCAGCAACAGTGTTTACATTGCAATTCAGAAATAAGGAACTGTAGATGTGTTCCCTGTAGGCCAACTCCAACACCTTTCTACAATTTCCTCTTTTATTTAAAAAGCGAAACCCAAACTGCCTCCTCCTCAACTTTTTATATTTCCCCAGGTTTTTTCTCCAGAGCACACTCTCTTTCTATCTACCCATTTCTGTCTTTGTGCAACAGATATAAGAAGGGTGTTTTCCTATGGGTATTCCAAGGCATAGAGAAGCGGACATCATTGGTTTCACACTTCTAGCAACAAATTCCATACAAAGACATTACTGAATGGGGAAGAAGGGTTCGTGAAAGTTATGATTATGACTTTTATTGTCAGAGAACAAAACATAAACTCCACAGACAGCTGTTTATATATCTGTGGTTCTTTATTCCTTCCTGGTTTCTACCCACTAGTTTGGAGGGAATGGAAAAAAGCAGGAAGAAAGTACTGGTTAACCTACAAATGATTCCTTTTCAATAGCTGTACAACTTCTTCAGAGGAAGAAAAAGGAAACTCTTGTGGGTCTCTACCCATGTATCACACCTGACCACCCCTGATCCCAAGAAGAGCTTTGCAGGTCACAGTCATCTCTCCTGGACAGTGTCAGACCTAGAGGCACATCATTATGTGACTGTAAGAGCTACTGCCCGAAGGTGAGTTAGCTGAAATGTACTAACACATACAAGAGTATAGTGCTTATTCTAATACGCTTTTATCAAAACCTGAAATATTATAACATTAATATATGTGTATCTCCTGAGGAACAGCATCAAAGAAATTCTTCTAGCAAACCATCTAGGCAAGACAGAGATCTTACAACGTATCCTGATGCAACCCACGTTTCTCACTACTTGAAAAAGTAAATGTCCATGTCTATCGTCCTCCAGGATAAATGCAGTAGCACTTAAGACATGAAAATGCAGACATAATTAGCTCAAGCATCCTACTCGACTTCAACCGCCAGGTTAAACAATCAGCCAAGACCACTACGAGGGAATGCTACAATTTGGGCAAACTAACTATGCAGAGCTGCAAAAGTCTGAGTCAGCATATCCAACTGCATTCAGAGGAGAAGCAGCAGCCAGAATAGAACTCTGAACAGAAAAATACATATTAATGCACACGTTGGAGCTGCTGTCTTTATTCAATGACAATTCTCAGCAGTTTTCAAGCATTCGGTGACACTCAGCAGCAACCTAAGCTAGGATAAACATATATATCTCCCTTTGCAAGAACACACCCAAAAACATGGGCCACAGAGTTCAATAATAACCATAAGTAAATAGAGGATTAGCACTTGCAAACATACCTGTCAGGAAGCAAGCTGTGCCAAGCCCATAAGTCCTCCCACCAAATGATGCAAACCTGTGGTGACCAGCTCTTGTAACGTATTGATACAGAACAAGTACAGAATAACAAAACAGGTACACACTATCTTACAACATCCAGCTCAGAAAGACCTCTTTTCCTGCAGACAAGGAGTTTTCCTTCTCCTTCTCTAGCTACCATAGTCTAGGTCATCTTGTTTTACACTCTGTCACTGCTGGTGTTGAAAAACTAGGGACCTGGGCCACTTCCGAACTAGCCACCCAGGGGAAGAAAGCACACTTTGGCCTTAGATGTCAGACTTCAGTCACCCTCTTACATCTGATCCACGCTAATTAAAAGTCCTGCTTCAGGGACAGAATATCATAGCTTCTATTTTAAAGACCCACGTTGCTGAACAGGAGCTGGTCAAAGACCACGGTGTGGGAATCACTGCTGTTCTACAAAACTCGGCAGGACTGAGGTCACAGTAAGGGAATTTATAAGTAAGCGCACTCTAAAACTATTTCCAAAAACAGTATTACCAGTTAAATAAAGTTATTAGGAATTTTGGATGGCTGACCACAAGAAAGAGAGCACCAACAACTGTCCTTTGTTTCAAGTCATCTGGAAATAACTAATATAGAATAAACGATGCCAGCCTACCTGTTTCTTCTAGAAATGAAACACACGGTTCCGAGTTCTACAAAAGTCCTATTAAAAACTAAATCCAGAGGCAAAGGATGAGAATTAGCATTCTAGCTAGCGTATTAAAACAGGTGCTTCAAGAAAAACATTCATCACAGGTAACGATTTAACTGACCGATTGGGAAGAAGACACATGACGCAGAGGTAAAACCGAAGCGGAAAACACGTCCCTCCACCCCCGCCCCGC